GTGGGGGGCAAACGTGTTTGGTTTGCGTTTCATGCAGTGGCAGCCTCAAGCACAGAAATACCTTCGTCTTCATCACCGTCATTATCCGCTAAGTCCTCGCCCTGTTTCTTAGCGCTGGCTCCTAGGGACCAAACACGAGGAGACAGAACAAAAAGGAAGACAAAAGGAAACAAAACCAAAACAAAACAAAAAACAAAAGAGCATTCAAAAATAGCATGATAGACGAGACGTGGGGCTGGGCCTGAGCCCCACAGCACTGCTGGCTACTCACACTGCACCTCTCCCAGAGCCAGGGCAGTGCAGGGCACGGGCAGGACTGCCCCGGGAGCTGCGCCAGGATGCCACTTCACCTGGACCCCTTCCCAGATCCTCCCCAGGGAGCGTCAGGGCAGGGGGGAGGCGGAGAGGGGAGCTGGGGCAGCATGAGTGCTGGCGGCGGATCAGCATCTCAAAGCGCTCGCCAATCCTCCTGCATCCCAGCCTGGCCCCGACCTGCTCGCACACCCTTGGCTCCCTGTGCCGGGGCAAGGCTCCCTCTCCTACCACCCGGGTGCGAGCAGGAGCCCTGCTGCCAGCTCTGCTGCCACTGGGGACAACCATCCCCTGCCACCAGCAGAGCCCACGGGAAGGCTTGGTCTGGGTGACCACTGACCACCAGCCGAGGTCCTGCCCGTCACCTCGATGCGGCGGTGCATGGCCCCTTGTTGTGCCTGGCATGGCTACGCTGCAAACCACTGGTGCCATAGCATGAGACCACCACGGCATGCTGCAGGCAGCCATCGTGACGGGTGCTTCCCTGCGCTGCTTGGCTCCATCCTGTACCAACTCCCTTCTTAAAAGACTAGTTGCGTGGTTGACTGAAGATTGCAAAGGCACTGACAGCTTGCCCTGACCAAGGCGGAACTGTAAAAATATCAGTTTCTGTAACGTCATGAATGCCTTCCAGTTGTTGCCATGGCCCTTAGGAAATCCATGGTGCCCAGGCATGGGCCAGGCCAGCAGCCCTAGCCCAGCACTGTGGGATGCTGTTGCGGACAGCGCGCACCAAGCGCATCTCTTCCCAAGCTGCGTACAGCCGGCACGAGCCGGGAGTGGTGGCCGGTGGGCTGGTAGAGAGCAGAGGCAGTGCAGACCTGTACCGAGGCCCTGTGGCTGCAAAGGGCTCTGTGTCCTGGTGGGCACAAAGCTGAGTGGTGCCATCCCTGCACCCTCCAGCCCCAAATTTCAGGAAGAGGCTGTGGTCTCCTCATCCCCTTAGAGCTGCAGACCAGTGCCTGCAATCCTCTGCTCCCTAATGCCTGCATCAAAAAAGTTCCCCAGGTGACGGTGACCTCAGGGGTGACAGCAGGGTTTCCCCGAGGGCAGGACTGCCCATGCTGGGCCTGCACTGCCCAGCGACCTCCCCCAAGATGTGCAGGGCTCCAAGGTCCCACCAGGCACCTGGCTGATCTCAGGGCCTTGCTGCTATCACCAGCCGACCCCATCACACCACAGCAAGGGTTTTGCATGGCTTCCAGCAAGGCTCCTGTGAGCAAGGGACAGCCCCATGGCTGGATAAAACTACGATGAGGAACAAAACTGGCTGGGAAGACAAAATCAGGGAGTTGTCCTCACTGCCACTCTGGGAGTGGGATCCCACAGGTGACATGGGTGGTGGATAACAGAGATGGCAGCATGGAAGGGGATAGGATTCGAATTTAAAAGGAATTTGTGGTGGGGGAGTGAGAGGTCTGAAACGGTTGTGGGGCAAATCCATCGGGGCAAGAGGCTTGCACAATGCCTTAAGTAGCCGTGACCTGCTGGATCGTCTGGAGGAGAAACGACCAGAAGTCTCGAAAAATCCAGCAGGCATGAAAAGTTTGCAGGCTGGGTCACGCGAATCCCAGGAGCAGAGGAGTGGTGGAAGCTACAGCAGCATCCCGACGCATGAAAGGCCACTGCGACGTGGTGAGGTGGAAGAGCAACTCCCTCTCTGCTGCACAGAGCACAGGCAGCCCCAGAGCTACACGAGGCAGGTTGAAGTTGGACAAGAAGAAAAATCTTCCTGGCAGAAAGGGCAGGAAAGCACTGGAAGAGGTGGCCTGGGGAGGTGTTTAAGACCAGGTGAGACACACTGCCAGGAAGAGGTGAGGCAGGGCTGCTCCTGCCTGGGGCAGGGATGGATCAGCTGTCTCCAGAGTCATCCTGATTTCCTCCGACTCAGAGTTCACCTCCCAACCTACCGCCCTCCATGACCCAGCCCTGCGTCCTCACCTCCTGCTTTGCCACCCAGCCATCCCCTGAACTCCTCACATCGTTCTCCTGTTTTCAACCAATGCCATCCCCATCCCTGCCACCTCTCTCCCCAGCACCCCAGCCCCAGTGTCTCCCCTTCCCTCACGCTCTCTCCCCAGCCTGCCCACCAGGTGCACACTTGGCCGGGCACGTGAGGCTGCCCAGCCTGTTTGCAGGAGGCTGCAAGTTTGACCGACTGCGTCTTCATTAGGAAGAGCTGCAAGCCCAGAAAGCACTTACATGACAAAGTACTCATGCAATATTTGCTAACTGGTGCTATGCGCCAACCTCCCTGGTACTGCTAAGGGATAGGGATTTGTCTCTAATGAAGACCACAGGCAGCGAGCCTTCATCTGCACCATGCTTCAGAGCTGGGAGGCTGGTCACAGGCAGCTGGAGATCCCTGTCCACTGCCGAGGGCCCTGGTGCTGTTAAAGCCTGGGGACCGGTGGGGCTGCAGCCCTCCAGCCTGGTCTCCTTCTAGGGACAAAGGTCCCCATGCAGACAGGGATGGAGGAACCAGCTCTGAGGAGCTGTCAGGCTATAAGAGAGGGCAGTGGAGAACATCCTTGTGATATGAGCAACTGTCCTGGCTGAGCAGAGAGGGATCCAGCTGAAGACCACTGCCCTGGAGCTTAGGGATGGCTGGGGCAAACTTAAAGCAACCTGAGCTTCACGCACTGCAGAAGGGATGATAGAAAGCAGCGCCGGGAAGCTGAGCAAAGCAGAGGCGCAGTAACGCAGGCCAGGGGGAAGGGGAACAGCGGTGGCACGTGTGTGCGGCAGATGCAAAGCACGAGCCTTCCCCATTGGCAGGAAGGTGCCAGGGTGGCTGGGGTTACGGTGAACACAGGCTGCTGTGACCAAGTGGGCTTTTTGCCTCTCGCTACGTTGTTCACCTCCACAATGACCCACAGCAATTACAGCTTCACTTCCCTCACCCATCCCTTGCTCTTTGCTCCATTACCTCCCTCCACTGGTTATTGCCATGTTCAAGGACAAGCATCCCAGGAGATCTTCCTCCGCACTGGCAAAGGCCACCATGCAAAGCCCCGCAGCACCTACCCTCACAGGGATGGGTTTAAGCTTGTAGATTCACAGCTGGAAAAAGCAAAAGGACTGATGGCTCTTACTCTCCTTATCCATCAGAAACTCCCTCCACTAACCCAGTGTGAATGCCTGTTGTGCCGCTTTACTTTAAGCTGACTGCAAAGTGACATTGTTCAGGCCGATAGGAAGGATGCATACGGCATTATCTGAATGCTCTAGGAAGATTTGAGTTCAAGTTCAGTAAAAACATCAAATCACTGTCCCTAAAACAGGGGCACCCACACTGGATTTCTGCTATCTTAAGTAAACCTTGCCAATAGCACTGATTCCAGTGCAAACAGAGATAAAGGAGGGCGAGGAGCCTCGGTCCTTGGAGCCTTTGTGCTCAGCATGGTGTGGATAAGAGAAGAGCAGGAGCCTGAGCTGGCACCTTTCCAGAACCAAAGGTCTGCTCAGGGCAGCCGTGGGCAGCCCCAGCATCCCCTCCTCAGTGCAAGCTCCCCGGGGCACCCACTCCCACCCAGCAGCCATGATGCTGGAGAGAGCAGGAGCCCGTAGCAGCACTGCCACTGTGTCTGATGGCTGGAGGCACCCAGAGGCACACATGCTGGTGGCCACACCGGCTCAGGTGCTTCTCCAGGAGTGACAAGGAATGGGACTAGGATTGATGACAGCCGTTGAACCTGCTGCTGCACACCACCACAGGTGGGGCAGCTCCCCTGGGACCTGTGTCAGGTGGCCCCTCCAGCCATCAGCCCTTGGTCGAGGACTGCAGCACACCATGGTGCTGCCTTGCCCCTCCCCATCCCTGGGTGATACAGAAGAGTTATCTCCATCCTTGAGAGGATGCCATAAAAGCACCGCATCTTCTCACGCGCTGCTGCCTCCTCCACTGCAAACACCTACCCTCAACTTTGCAAATTGCTCCCTGGAGCAGAAGTGGAGCACCAGGGCAGTGGTCTGCTCCCAGCCAGCTCTGCAAAGCAGCAGGCTTCACAGGAGGCTAGTGAGAAGCCTTCCAGCAAGGGAGCACTGCAGAAGTCATGCAGCCATAGGGAAGTCTCAACCGGTACTCGGACAACTTTGCTTCTTGGAGAGCAGCAGAGAAGCCACAAATGCTTTCCCGTAGAGCAGCTGAAGCACATCCTGAGCCCAGGACCTGCTGGGAGCTCCAGCCACCCTTGCCCAGCAGAGCAAGATGCTGGACTGGCATGTTTGTCTCCACAGCATTGGGCACTCTGCACAGCCCCAGCCAGAGAGATTAGGGCAATCGCCAGTAAAAACCGAGACGGGCTGCTTTGTGCAGGGCAGCCACACTTTTCCCCTCCAAAAATGACATCCATCTCCTCATACCCTGCAGCAAGGCCTGCCCAGGCTGGTGGTGAAGGGAAGGGGAACGCATCCCGGCACTCGTCACAGCCAAGGACAGCCTGGAAGTGTTGGCAGCAGAAAGCAAAGGGCAGAGCTGCGTTTTGCACATAGGTGCTGTACTCTGTGTGTGTGTACATCCTCTTCAGGTGGGCAGCGTTATCTATACAGCAAAACCTGAGCCTCAGCTGAGGCTCACCACTGTCAGCTCCCCTGGCACCATGCACAGCTAATGCCTCTCAAAGCATCGCTACCCCGCCTTGCTCCTAGAGAAGGGACCAATGTGTGTGGAGGAGACTGGCATGTGGGAAATTTCCATGTAGGAAATTATTGCGGGCAAGCGGGCAGGGAAACAGGGATGGTTTTCTGTCTTAGGGATAAATTCTGCTAAATTCTCAGTCCTTTGTCTGCTATGAAATAC